AAAAAGGCAGCAGCTCCTAATACAATGTCATTAGACAAGTTTTCACCTGCCCCCGAATGGATATTTTGCATCACAGCTACCGCCTGACTGATCATCTCCTACAGCTTGTCACCGACCAGCTGATGTTAACTAAATGCCCAGGTGCCTTTTTCAACATCTTACTAGGGCTACTCTCAAACTACTTATTGGAGATTTCAGCAATTACATTAGAATGCAGCCAGGCATCCCCATAGGTAGTTGAATGCCATATTGGAAAGCACCAAAAGGTCCTCAGGCAGTCAGATAAGTGACTGAACATTGTGGCTATAAGTGTGAAGAATAGGTATCTTGTGCTGCAGTGCCCCATGCTGCAGTCACAGCATGACTGTGTGACTGCTAGCCAATGACCACCCTGTGGCTTTAGTCAATTAGGTAGTTTGCTCCTCCTCCCACCCCCCATAAAATAATGGCTATGCTCAGAGCAGGGAAGATGGTGTCACGCACTGACTAGAAAGGGGGCCTGGGTCTGGGCCTGGAGGAGCTAGTTGAAGCTATGGTAGGTGTCTCAAGTAGGAGTCACCCTGTATGGTAGCAGTAGGATATGAAATGTAAGATGGCAGCATCTGGAAGCAGCAGCCAACACTATATGCTACTAGAGTCACTTCTTACATCAGGATTATAATTTAGTCTGTCCAGCTATGAACTGGCTGTTCCATATTAATGGCACTGAGATGACAGTTATGTGCATAATGAGCTATTCAGCCACAGTACAAGTATGGACATTTGTGTCCCTAGTGCTTCTATTTGTGCCGTACCACATCAGCAGTTCAAAGCTGCTCTCTTTACTGTGTAAGGTATACCTAGACCCAAATGGTGTAACGACGTGAAAAGCCCTGGGGTACTAGTGTTAAAAAAATAATAATTGATTATCTCCCTAGGAGATGTCCTTAACCACCTGCAGATGATCTATTCACATGGTGCAGCATGAGCACCACATATGCTTCAGAGCTTGTGAAGCAACAGCTGTTTACTTGTTAACCAGACTGTATTCAGCAGAAAGACAGGCCCCTTTTTCTCCAGTGGTAGTGAGCTCTATTGGACTATTGCATTGTGCTGTCAGACAATTAGAGACAGAGGGAACAAAGGTGCTAGTATTGCCCTCTCTCCTGGGCTGGCCAGTTGCAAAGAGGCTCTGTGCTTTGCTCCAACTTAAAAGTTCAGCAACTCAGGGACTGCCACTGATAGAACCTTCCATCCAACATTAATAGACTTGGGCTACTGCAAGACTATATGCTCTTTGTTCTTTACAGAGGGGTAGGTTGAGACAGAGCAGATCATGGTAACGCAGAGTAGAGGCAGGAATAGAGCCTGAAACTCCTAGCACACACATCCTTTAGACAGATAACTAAGAGCAAACACAGTCAGAGCCCAGCAGAAGAGATAGGAAACTGTACCCAATCTTTTAGTTTGAAGAGAAGAGAAACCTGCCTTTTCTTTAACTGCACCTCTACACTGGCTTATGTGTCCCTTTAGTTGCCTTTGATAGGTCTCCAGTGTCTCATTGGCTAGGGTTAGCAGGGTCTGAGGTTATCCAGCCTGTGTATTACTGTACTAGTTTAATTCTTCTGCTAGAGCAATGGCAGGTGTCTTAGCTCAAGTCATTAGCTCTTTCCAAGTCCATGTTGTTTATTAGCATAAATTTGCCCATGTGTAGCTGTAGCACCTCTCTCTAGCTCTTTGTGGAGAATTTAAATGCAGACAAGGAACAGAAAGCCTTAACTCTGAACTACGAGCATCAGTAACTCTGCATTTGTATAATGTAACTCTGCATTTAGGTGACAAACAGCTGAAGATGCTTAAAAGTCTAAAACCAACAATAGCACCAGTGCCTGGGGATTTTGGCACATATAGAGGCAATTTAGAGGTCAGAGGCTATAAGTTCTTAGCCCAATCAGGAGCTGGAAGAGGCAAGCAGTAAAGTGTCCTGAAGGCTGTGATTTAAGTCTCTAGGACCTCCCCTTTCACTCTGAAAATGAACCACAAGAGCTAGTTTTAAATATGATTGTCACACTTTGAGTCATACTAGAAGTCAATAATTGCAGTAGCATTTTAGTCTAAAACCCCTCTAATACTATTGGAGTAAAGTTAACTCCTCAATAGCATTAGCATCATTAGACTGAAGGCTAATCTTGGGGGTCAGCGTTATTAGCTACATCAATGCTTAAGCCAGCCAAGGATAAAATGAAGATCTGCCTGATCAGCTGCAGACAGCATCTCATTTTGGTGAGATAATGGGTTGATCTTTGGTCATTACTATTCCTTATTCTCTTTCCTACTCTGAACTTCTAGCCCTGGGGAGAAAAGTGCTTTACTTCTATTCAGAAAGTCAGGCAACACCATCAACAGGTTATAGCAGGCTGACTAGACTAGCCACAGTGACGGATATGATAAACACAGGCACACCCTTATCTTGGGGTGGTCCCACTGAAAACTTGGAGAATATGTACAGCCCTTTGTAACAATATAGCCTGTGTATTTTGTGGTCCTGGAATCACCAGGGGATGAAAATGCAGAAGTCTGGCTATGCTGATCCCCTATGGTGGGGAGTCTTCAGAGACTTGGTAAGAGGGAGGAACTTGTTTTACTTACATTCAAGAGGCTGGACGACAAAGAATTTAGGCTTATGAAGTCTGACTTTATATAGATTCAGCATCTTCCTCTTGATTCAACAAATGGACAGGGCTTTTGGGCCTAGGGCCCTCCCACTGGGCTTGCACTTACTAGGGACCCATAGGACTGATTGATCATTCTTATACCCAGAGTGACCTATGCCATACTAAACAGAGCATTGTATCCTTTTTTATAGTAAATAAAAACATCTGTACTGAGAGAGTGCAATGTGGTAACTTGTAGCTGCTGACAAGACACTGCGCCGAGCCCTTCTAGAGAAAGCAGAGTACAGACAGCAGCCTTTAGCTAGACTGGAATGCTGAGGCTCAGTGATCTACAGCCTAAAACCCCTGCCCTGAGAAGTGAAGGCTACAAACCCAAAACACCCATGAGAAGAGGCTGGTGGTTAAAGGTGCAGTTACCCCAAAGCTGAGAAGCTGGTACTAATTAAGAGCACCAAGCTTTCCTCCCCCACACTGCACAGTTACCCCTATAGAGTGCATGCATGGAGGAAGTGGAGCACAGACCCAGGCTGCTTCTCTCACTTTGATATTACAGGACCATGGAAGTTCTCCAGGCCTGAGCTTGCACAGCCCCATTCTAACAAGTCCTGGGACAGCAAGACTAGCTTTTCCTGCAGGGGTACCTGGGTGAAGATGGGGCTATTTGTCCTTTCAGTTAGGGTGTAGAAAGCTCACTATTTACTTGAGGAATCCAGGAAGTCTGACAGCAATTTAGTTCAAGTCAAGCATGGGGGGGGGTGGAGAAGAGGGAGAACAAAAACAAAAACCCTTTAGTGTAGGGATAAGATGAGAACTCTTTGAAAGTATGAGATTTCTTGTTGCAGGTAAGACATGAAGTATGTCAAGGTGTCACCTTGGATAGTTCCATTCTGCCTGCCACAGAGGGAGACATGTTTATTTTGCTCTATATCCCTACAGAGGTTTGAAAGGCCTGAGTAGGCAGGTCTTAAGGCTAGGAAGTACTGACAATGTAGCATGCTGCTCCCTAACCACACCCATGAGGAGTCAGGCACTAGTACAGAGTCCACAATTCACTGGAAAGAGACCAGCACTTTTGCATGAAGTTACAGGTGTCCCTTACAACAGGACCAAACATGAAGGACCCTCTTTCTCCCCCCAGTAAGAGCCAGATCCAAGCCACAATTCTTTCATATACTTTTATTCAGGGGTTATATTCTTTTGTTTAAGTGTTTGTCTTTGCCAATACTTTACTCCAATGAAAATCAGAGCAATAGCGCCAGCTCCTACTACAACCACTGTCATTCGCTCCCATTCCTGGGACAGGGGGCCTCCAGTCCATTGGGAGCCTGTGAGAAGAGAGGATGGTCAAGTAATAGTTTGGGCAAAGGTGATCTCTATGAATAATCCACCACCAAATGGTGACTAGGTTCCTGCTCTATTTCCATTGCTGGAAGTGCCTGGGTTCAGTATTGAAGTTAGTTTAATCTGTACCTATAGCCAGTAGAATCTAGAAGGTGGAAGAGGCATTAATGCTAGGTAAATTACAAGACAGAAGGGTGCTAACTTAATGCTGTAGAGATCAGCTTGTAAGCTCCTTAACTATTGCACTGCTCCCAACTCCCCCAAAGCAGAGTTTTAACAGACATTGCCCCAGTTTGCTAGTCCCACCCAAGGAAGGGCTTGCAGACCCTCAGATTTAAGGCCACTAGTTCCTTCCCTATAGCACAAAAGGGAAGGGATTCAACCCTTGCTCTCATGTAGTGGGAGTCCCTAGCAGATGCAGGCTTCTGAAGTGCCTCGCCACCTTGCATCCATAAACCACAGGAGAAATGGAACTAAGTGATTTAGTTGGGCTGGTCCTGCTTTGAGCAGGGGGTTGGACTAGATGACCTCCTGAGGTCTCTTCCAACCCTAATCTAGGATTCTATGAAATTGCAGGCAGTCTGAGCATTAGTAGAAAGGAACAGAAAGTTGTTACTCAGGAGGCCAATACTCCATTGGTGAACCCCAAACCCTAGACTGGTTGTTCCATGAAGAGACATCAGGGTTTGTCATTGACACTCAGGCTTTGTTCTACTCTAGGAGTCATAAAACAGTTCTAAACAGTAGAATCCAGGTCCTAGTTTTCCCCTACAGCACTTGTCTTCCAAGTTGGATGTTGAGCAGGTTCATTACAATTAAAAGCCTGCAGTAAGCATGGGAGGTCCAGTAATTGGGTCCCTAAAGGGAAGGAGCATAACCATTGTAGTGCCACAATTTCCACACATCTGGACATCCTCAACTCATCCCCAAAGTCATGCCCCAATTCTAGGCATGTGTAGCACTACAGTAGAACCATTGAATAAGCTGGGACAACCAGCACCTCCTCTATTTACTACCTTTCTGTCCAAGGGTCTGATCTGCTTCAGTGTTCTGGAAGTCCACAGGTCCTTCTGTGGTCACCAAGTTCCTTGGAGCATTTTCTGAGGCCTGCTTCTCAGGCGTTCTTCTTGCTGTTTGGAGACAAGGAGGCGATTTGTAGCTGAGAGAGTGTGGTGATTTTCACCCTTGTTAGCAAGACCTTGTACACCTCCATCCTACTCTAGGTCTCAGGCCTTGCCTCTCCCATCTGGTCCCCTCACCTTATGCAGGTTTTCCATGCCGCCCATATCTAGGGCATGGCTTCCAGTGTTTGTTCAGACCATTACTCAGGTCATCCTCAAAACCCATCACTGCAATACCAAGAATGAGCCTCCAAGTATTCCTCATTGCCAACTAGCTCTTCTTGTGTATTGTTTTGTATCTCCAGGGCAGGGAGCCTTTTAGAGTGCAATGCCAAAAGTGTTGGCATTAAGTGACCTGTGTCACATTTAGCCTTAACCTCTCCTGAAGCTTCTCACTTGAGGGAGGGAGATCATTTATACTCCTGAGAGTACCCATAGATACCCCTTCCTTCCAAGGAAGTTACCTCGGCATCTCTCCTTGGACCCAGAAGGGTCTTTCCCTCTCACTAGGGGAAAGGGAAAAGCCATGTTACTCAACTAAGAGCAATTTCCAGCCCACAAAGTATGACCTTGGGAAATAAAGGCACAAGACCTTTGAAGCCCTCCAGCCTCAGAGATGGTTGTGCAAGCATGGTGCCTCTGGACTTATCCTGAAGTTAGGCATATAGCTCTTACCTCGTGTCTTGGGGCAGTGAGCGATGCAGGATTCCATTGCAGATGGAACACAGGCTGAAGCACTACAGTGAAAGTAGACCTGTGAGAGAAGATGCAGAGGGAGACTGAAGAAAACCTCTAGCTGAACTTTTAGCTAGTACCCATAAATTAATGCTCTGCAAAGTAAGCAGTCAAATCTCCCCTAGGAGAGGCAGAACCTACTGAAGGGGTGGGGGAAGTAAAGACTGTTCTAAATATTTAACATTAGAGGGGTTGGAACAGCAAGGTATCTGGATCCAAATAATAGTTCAGTGTCTGGAGTGAAGGAGACTGGCTGCTAAACTAGGAGTCTCAGCTTGTTGCTGATTAGGACATCTGGATAGTCAGAAGCCACCACAGCCACTTAGAATTTCTGTTCAGAGCTTGGTAGACCTTGCAGTGCTGAGAAGGAGGTGCAGGACCCAAGACTAATGCTGAAAGACCAGTCAGGAAGCCTTCCTAAATCATAATTCTGTAGTGTTATGGGGGGAGGGGGTAATAGAATCATGTTTAATCTACCATGTTTTAACTTCAGTATTGGGGTCTTTCCAAGCATGTCCAACAAGCCTTATGCAGGCTCTGAAACAAGGCACTTTGAACTGCATGATGCTTACCGGTCCACTAAGTGCCTTCTGGGAGGCAAAATCCACAAAGGTAAAAGTGCTGATGATGAAGTGCTGGTAGTGTGATGGAAATTGCAGCCCTGAAGCAGCTCCCACAGGGATAAGCTCGGTTTGGTAGTTGTCACCTGTGTATGGACACCTGAGAAAGAGGCTGCAGTGAGATGGGAGCCCACTATTAGCCTTCCACAACCCCATACATTTCTTGAACCAGTCACTTACCCATCCACCAGAATGGGCCACTGTGGCTGCTGCATGGGATTAGTGCTTGGGGTGGCCCAGCATTGGTGCAGAACCAAAACTAGGTTTGGGTCTGTTCTTTGCAGGATTCGGACCTCCATGTAGACTGGATCCCGCAGAAGTTTCACCACAGGATAGTCACTGTTGACATAGTATCTACTATACTGTTGGTCTGTAGGGCAAGAGAGTTACAGTCTGTTAAGTGAGAGTGAGAGCATCAGGACAGAATGGAGAATTCTGTCTCTTTAGGGTCCACTGTGGTAAGTTGTGATTCTACAAACACTCAGATATGGGGAGCTTTGCACAGGAATTGCAATTTCAGATCAGACCAGTGCTCAAACTAATCCAGAATCCTGTCTGACAGTAACACTAGATGCCTCAGTAGTAGATAGCTATGGAATATTTTTCCATAAGGGCAAGAACTCCAGTAAACTGAGGAAGAAAGGAGATTTTACAGTCAGTAAAGAGAAAGCACCTGCTATTGCAAATTCTTCTGTGAGTTGCAAGCACTTGGACATCAGGTTATCCAAAGAACTGGTACAGTTGTGATCTTCAGGCCCTGGGAAAATTGGTAGTAACGTTACCTTGGACCTGCATCTCCCTGCTCTATGTACTTAGTGTTGCCACTTCAGGGCTTTAAGACTTGAGACAGCAGCAGCTCCCTGTAAGAGTCACCACCAATCTCCTATGACATGGAGGTGGGGGGGCAGGAAAACAAAGTTCTCAAAGCTGGTTGTTGGCAATAAGTTCTCCAGGAAGAGTACCCAGGCATGGTGGGCCCAAGCATTTTAGCCTCTAAGGTTGATGTCCCCATTACCTGTGGCAATCCTCAGCTCCAGAGTGAGGGGGCCATACTGAGTGGCTGGAGGAGGTGGTGGCAAGGTGAAGACTTGCACATTGAGTGGGAGGAAGTCCCCAGTGGAGTAGCTGCAGCTGACATGGAGCCTGGTGTGCACAGGAAGAGTCAAGTGAGTGTTCTATTCCCCTTAGCAGCCAGCTAGTCCCATGCTGCACTAGCTGCCCTGCACATCCCTGCCCCCATGAGGCAATCACCTGACCATCAGACTCATACTAGAGCATCATCAACTAGTCATATATAAGAAAAGGTTCACAAGCAATTTCAGGAGTCTCCTCTAAGGTAGAAGAGTTACAGCTACAAGTGAGATCAAATGCATCAGGAGGAGATGTGGGAAGGTTTGCAAGTCCTAGTCCCTCCTCCCCACCATAGTTTTAGTCATCCTGTCAGGTGAGGCAGGCTACTTGGTCATCCCAAGCCCACCCCAGCAGCCAGGCAGCTGTGCACACACTAGGGTGTTGGTCCTGTTCCTCCCACCTCTCCCCATATCCCCACCCCCATAGTCTGCCTAAGGCAGACTCTATACACAAAGGTTTGATGCAACTCCAAGCATTATTTACACCAGTCTAGTTATATTGGTATATCCTCCATTGACACTTATTCCTGTCCAAAAGTAGCTTCTGTTAAGCTTGTCACTTGGGAAGGGTTTGAGCTGAATTGTAAAGACTGTGTCCATATGGGGTTCCCCTGCACCCTGTATCCAGGGGATTAGTAGTAGCCCTCTGCAAATGGGAGTGTTGTGGCTAGGAAGTCCCTTCCTAAACATGCAGGCTGAGAGATCCATTCCACCTGCAGATTTCTGCCCTTCAGAACAATATTAGCAGAGTCTTGTTAGGTTAGCAGTACTCTGTACATCACCAGAGGGGCAGAAGAATCTACAACCTCCTTCCCATACAGGCCTCCCCAGAGCTTAACGGGCATAAGTACCTGAATGTGCTGTCCCGGGTGACTGACCCAGTGCTCCAGCTTCTCACATCCCTGTCTGCCACAAGCTGATTCTCATACACACCTTGGTCTCCAGCTCCCTGTACAGAAGAGGATTAGCATTAATCATTGCAAGGACTTGAGGGGTATTGTCCCAAATGGGACAAACTTGGAATTCTTGAGTATCTAGCTCTGCCTTTTGGCTCTTGCCTAAAGCAACAGATGCCAGTTAGTGGCGAGAGCAGCCTGAGCCACAGAGACAGAGACAAGGGGTGATTTGCTCCTAGATGTTCAGTTATGAGGGAAAGCAAAGCCGAGCCATTCCCTTTCATTCTCAGAGAAGTAGCTACTTCTCATTCACCTCTACACTCCTTCCTAGGTATCCACCTTTTCACTTTTTCCTACCTGAATTTCAAATAGCCATACAAGCTCTTGATGAAAGAAACTAGTTTTATCCCACTCAGATCCTGACAAGCAGCAAAGACCACCACCCAGCAGAGAGGAGATGTCATGGTGGTCAGGGAAGAGCATCTCCCTTTCCTGCTGGCCTCTTACCTGGAAAGTGGTCCCACAAGCAGAGAGTGGGAATCTATACAGGACAAAAGTATTACTCTTGGCCACAGGGATACAGCTGCTGCCATGCCCACTGACCAGATGTATAGAGTCCAGGATCAGTGGTGGCAAAGTCACATCTCTAGAGACTGCTATGGAGAACTGGCCATCAGTTGTACACTGTGCTGTCACTGAAAGACAAGCAGCAGAAAGGCTTGGTTAGATACCATACTGCAAATGCTGCCATCTTGTCCCTCAGCAAGCCTCTCTTCAAACAGATTTGTTCTCTGTAGTACCAAGCAGAGCCAGCCTTAGCTTTCCCAAAACAGATGGTGCCCAAAAATGTAGAGGGAGAGTCTTGGCTCTTGAAATATTGACCCCTTTCAGTTGGGAAAGGATGCAAGCTGGTCACCAAACAATGGCCTCTATTTCTGCAGTTGGTGTTGGGAGAATAAGTATGATGGTCCCCACACAGCTCTTCAGAGCAGGGTTTGGTTCTCTTATGCAGTTGTACACTTCCCTCAATGGGCCACCAGTTTTAACTGAGGCCTGTGGAAGATATGCACCAAACTCTCACCTTGGATTTTTGTATTAGTGTCATTGTGTTAGTCACGTGACACCTACAGGCATGCCTAGTGCACAGTGGTGTGATGGCAGGTTTACTTTGGGAGGAGGGGAACAGTTTTGCTGATCCACCCAAAGTTACCAAGGCCAGCTCCAATGCTATCATTTCTAGCCCTTCCCAACGTTTCATTAGTGAGGAGATTAAATTAATCCTTCCCATGAGGGGATGGAGCCAGCCAGGAGTTTTAGACAAGGAAGTCTCACTAGGTTATGATCTGACATTTATAAGCCTGACCCTGGCTGTGTAGAGGCAGTCCAGGCAGTCCTTATCCATATGCAAACTATGCAGCTGCATAGGGCACCAAGAAATTTGGGGTACCAAATTGCCCCAAATTTCCTGGTGCCCTATGCAGCTGCATGCTGCTCCAGCTGGATCCCCTGGCCAGCTGAGCTGGCCAGAAAAGCTGCCCCTGCTCTGCCCCCACTCCACCCCTTCCCCTGAGCTACACCCTGGGGGACTGCAGCAGGGGTCTGGCACGCCTGCACTCACCAGGTGGCAGGAAGTGGAGCGACTTGGCACCAGCCCACTCTGCTGGCTCCCAGCTGTGCAGCCTACTTGTGCTCCCGCGCCCGCCCCCCCCCCCCCCACACACACCCAATTCCAGGAGCCAGGGGAGCAGAGTGGAACAGGCTGGGCCACTCTGCTCCCTTGGAAGTGTAGCGTCAAGCCTGCCCTGCAATCACCAGACAGCAGGAAGTGGAATGACCCAGCCCGCTCCACTCTGCCAGCTCATGCAGAGGCCTGAGGATGCCCCTCCATGGAGACCTGGGGGGAGCCTCCTGTCCTCCTCCACAGGGGGCTGCATAGGGCACCACAATGTTTAGGGACAGCTCTGGAGGTAGTTTAAGGCCTTGGCTACACTGGCACTGTACAGCGCTGCAACTTGCTGTGCTCAGGGGTGTGAAAACACCCCCCTGAGTGCAGCAAGTACAGCGCTGTAAAGCACCAGTGTAATCAGAGCCTGCAGCGCTGCATGCTCCCTCGCCGCACTGCAAGCTACTCCCCCTCAGAGAGGTGGAGTACATACAGCTGGCGGTGCAACTACACTCACGCTTCACAGCAGCACTGTGCAGTTCCGAGTGTAGCCAAGGCAGCAAGCTATCAAGGAATGCCTGCTAGGTGTTAGGCCACTCAGTCAGGCCCTCCAAAGTTAATTGGGAAAGTTCACCAGCAGCAAAGGTTATGAAAGTCAAAGCACGGATTATGGTCTGAGACTTTAGGTGTGGAGAAAGGACAGCTCTATGCCCTCTGACAGGAGCGGTGCCAGCTTTTTTGCTGCCCTAGGCAGTGGAAGGTCCTGCCCCCGAAATACCACTGACTGGGGCGGCTGAAGATCCGGCTGCTGTGGTTGCTGCCCCTGAAATGTTAGCGCCCTAGGCAACTGCCTAGGTCACCTAATGGGTTGCGCCAGCCCTGCCCTCTGATGGTGTTTGCTTGCAAGAGACCTAGCATTTCATCTAGAATCAGTTCATTTTCTGAAATATGGGATGTTCTTCTACATCAGTTTAGAAGCTTACTGAGAACCACCACGTTTACAATGGTTGCTTTTAGGGTTGTGGAATTCACAACTGGACTTGGATATTGCAGTGCTGAATTTCCTGGCATCAAACATTCAGGAGCCTAGAAAAAGCCTACACCACCGAAACGGATTCACAAAGCCAAGCTAGGTGCTTTGGCTCCCTATATGGAGGCTGAAGATAGCTAGACACCTAAGAATGCAATCCACAACAACAAGCATGCTAGGCAAGGAGCAGCCTAGGCTAACCCATGGCAGTGTGGATTTGCTAAGCCCTGCCCTCTTCTCAGGAGATAGTCACTTAAGTCCAGGCTGCAGGGAGGCTGGATTTCAGTTATATACACAATGGAACAGCTTTAATGAGAGGTGCTGAGGGAGCCCTCATTAACCTTGAGCAGTGGGATATTCTAAAGCACTCCAAGTTCAGAAACCCCTGTTCAAATCCTCTACCTCTGCAGTGAAGGGGCAATTGAACCTGACTCTCCCATATCCCAGGGGAGTCCTAACCAGTGGAGTAAGAGCTTAAGGTAGGCAGCACCACCACCTCCAGCCAGACTTTAATGGGGTCTGATCTGATAGGCACACTCAGAGGGGAGTCACTACCCAGTCAGCCCCCCTATGGGCAAGTTAAGTAGCCAAATACCTGTCTTGCCCTGGTTCATGTACCATTCTAGGGCTCTGGTCTGAGACTGGCCACTGGAAACCTGGATATGCACACTGCTGCCTCATCCTAGAAGGAAGCAAGCACCTAGGGAATTTACTTTTGGAAAAACCTCAGGCACCAAGTGACATTAGGTGCCTATAGGGCCAGCTCTAGTGATTTTGCCGCCCCAAGCAGAAAGAAAAAAAAAAAGCTGCTATCGGCGGCAGCTCTAGCACTGCTTCATTCTACGGTGGCAATTTGGCAGCAGGTCCTTCGCTCCCAGAGGGAGTAACGGCCCCACCACTGAATTGCAGCCAAACATGCTGCCTCCCCCCCCTCCCCTTCATTGGCCTCCCCAGGACCTGCTTGTTATGCTGGTGCTGGCCCTGTACAGGGCTCAGGGGACATTGTGGATTGCAGTGGGGGACTTCAGTGCCTATGTTGTGCCACCCTTAGTGTTTTGATTCTTGAACACAAGTCATTAGACCAGATCTGGATGTTTGAGACAGCTACCCCAATTTAGCATTCAATACAGTTCTATATGTGAAATTAATCCCCTTCTCCAATTTAATGGAGAATCAAAAGATTCTCAAGGAATTGGTTAAAGGGGAAGCTACAACAAGTTATGCTGAAAGGTGAACTGCCAGCCTAGAGGGCAGTGAATAGTGGAGTTCTTCAAAGATTGGTTTTGGGATTGGAAGTCTTAAGACTTCCAAAAGTAACCTTGGCACAAAAAGTGGGAGTGTGCTAATAAAATTTGTGGATGACAAAGTTGGGAGGTATTGCCCACATGGAGAAGGACTGGAATATCCTATAAGAAGATTTGGACAAACTCAAACTGGAAGAATAGAAACTGGATTAAATTTAGTAGTGCAAAGCAGAAGTTGGGAGGGGGGGGGACTAAAGAAGTTTTGCTATAAGCTGTGGACTGATCACTTGGAAGCAACAAAGGAGGAGACCCGCCGGTGTATTAGTCAGCCTGTGCTCAACCATGAGCTGCCAATGTGATATGGCTGTGAAAAAAGCTAATGCAATCTTAGGATGCATCCAGTGAGGTATTTCCAGTAGAGAGGGAAGTTATTGCCATTATACAAGGTACTGGTGAGGCCTCATCTGGAATACTGTGGCAGTTCTGGTCTCCTGTGTTTAAGATGAATTCAAACTGGAACAGGTAGAGAGAATGGTTTCTAGGATGACCAGAGGAATGGAAAACCTGCCTTATGGGAGGAGACTTAAGGAACTTTGCTTGTTTAGCCTAAGCAAACAAAGGCCAAGGGGAGACTAATATTTATAGAGAAATCAGAGGGATAAATAGCAGGGGGAGACAGTTGAGTTATACAAGTTAAGGTCAATGTTGGCAAAAGAATAAGTGGATATAAACTGTTCAACCAGTTTAGACTGAATTAGGCAAAGGTTTCCAACTTTCAGAAGAAGGAAGATTTGGAGCAGCCTTCCGACAGCCTAGGAGGGGTGGGAGAAAAATCCAACCCTAACTGGCTTCAAGACTGAGCTTGATAAGTTTATGGAGGGGATGGTATGAGGACTACCTACTGTGGCCTAATCCATTTGCTAATAGCAATTGCAGATGTTCCACCTCCAGCTGTTGGAGGTGGAACACTAGATGGGGAGGGCTTAGAGTTACTGCAGATAATTCTTTCCCAGGTGTCTGTTTAGTGCAGTGGTTCTCAACCCATTTACCATTGTGGGCTGCATACAATACTACCACTTGGCAATGAGGAGGTCACATGGGCTGCAGCTCTGGGCAGACTGGGCTGCAAGCGGCTCATGGGCCACAGGTTGAGAACCACTGGTTTAGTGAGTCTACCCACATGTGCTAGGCACAACTCCGGGGTCCTGACCAGAGCCGGCTCCAGGCACCAGCTGACCAAGCATGTGCTTGGGGCAGCACCTTGTAAGGGGTAGCAGGCAGCGCTTGAGGGTTGTTTTTGGTTCAGCAGTGTGGTGTGGTGCTGGGTGTGTGTTTTGGCAGGGCAGGGCTCTGGGCGGGAGGGGAGAGGGGGTGTTTTGGCAGGATGGGGCTTTTTGCTTGGGGCAGCAAAAAAAAAAAAAAAAGTTAAGAGCTGGCCCTGGTCCTGACCCAGTTTGAGAACCACTAAGTGGGTCACAACCCTATTTTAATTAGGTCAGAGCCAAATCTGAAGCATGAGCCCCACCACCCAGGGTGGGAAGCAAGAGGGCATCAGCTCTGGTGGCAGACCCCCTGCTAGGAGCTGAAGCCCTTGGCCCCCCATACCCAGGGTGATGGGGCTCAGGCTTCGGTTCCCCCTCCTGGGGTTGTGTAGTAATTTTTATTGTCAAAAGGGAGTTGCTGTGCATGAAGTTTGAGAACCCCCAGTTAACTGATTGCCATGGGGTGTCAGGAAGAAATTTTCCCTGCATCAGCTTGGCAGAGATCCTAGGAGCTTTTAAACTGTCCGCAGCATGGGGGCACAGGCACTTGCTGGTTTAAATTAACATAAATGATGGGTTCTGTGTAACTTGAAGTCTTGATTTAAAGATTTGAGGACTTCAGTAAGTCAGAGGTTAAGGGGGTGGGTGGGTTCTCTGCCCTGCCATGTGCAGGAAGTCAGACTACATCATGATGGTCTCTTCTGGCCCTAAAGTTTGAGATGGTGCTAGCCAAATTCCAGTGGCACAGCCTCATGAGAATGATAGCTCACAAGCCCTGAAGGTACCAGCTACGCTAGACACCTGGTTAGGATGGAGTGTCCAAGTGGAATCTGAACAAGATGTACCTTTTTAAATTCCAACCCACCTGTGTTGCCATAGTAACATGGAGCAACTGGGTCACCAAGGCTGTAGCAGCAGCCTTTCCCTTCACATGCTTCCTGAGAGACCGGAGGTGTGGCACAAGGCAGCCTGTCTGGGCGCAGAACAGCTGTGCACACATTGTTAATTGGAGCATCTAGAGCTGGAGAGAGGAGAAACGTTAAAGTCAAACGAACCCTCCACCACTTGGAACCATATAGGAGAGTGTGTCTCTTCTAGGCACTGGGGCAGCCTGTGTTTACTATGCATCAGTCTCACCTCCCATGTATTCTAGGGATATGAGGCACTGCAGCCACTTGAATCTCTAAGAGCACCCAACACCATCTGACATGGTGAACTGGCACACTAAGGTACATAGTTTTGCCTCCCCACTCCCAGAACAGCTTGTACAATTGCAGGCTGGGACATTGGAACCTAGGATTGTACCTGGCAGATGGATTGGGCATCTCAGTTCTTCTTCATGGAAAGATACTTCCCCAGTGTCATCTATTCCTTCAATCCTGATAGTCATGAGGAAATAACCATTCTGCAGGAAGAGTGGATGGAAACCAAACCAAGGTGATTAGAGCTTTTCCACCCCTCGTCCTATCTTGAGTAGGAAAGTGTGGGCATTCCCCCATCACAAACTGCCTACCCATTTAAGAAGTATGGTTTGTTAACTGACCATACCAAAGCCCAGTCTCAGCAGAGTGGCTTTCAGACCTAGTATGTCTAGAACCATGAACTTGTTCTGCAGCGTGCTTAGTAATCCAGAAGCATGTTCCATTTCTCAGGGAGACATACCATGTAGAACTTGTGAATGCTGGTCCCTAAAGTTGCCTCAAGCAGCATTATACCCTCAGCTGAGGCTAGACAATTAGTTTGATGGTCTAAACATTTCACCCAGAGATGGACCCCAAGTCAGTGTTCAAATCCAGAACCTTGAATATTTTGAGCGGTTGGTTCATGGTGATTGATAACTCACCCCCTCCCTCCAAGCACCTAAATGGGGGAGCACACAAACTTTCAACTCAGCTGCTCAGAGTTGTGGTATACAACCTTTTTTTTGGACAGAGGAGCCCTCTTGCTTACTTCAGGAGTAGCTGTGAGCCACCTTACATGTTGGGTCCAGTTCTCATCTGGCTTCTGCCGCAGACACACCATTATGGAATTTGTCTAGTTTTCCCACAGATAGGAAAGGACAAGCAGGCTCTGCTCAATTCAGAGTCACTGCTCCCTCCCATAGACTTCAGGTGCAAGTCAAGTCTCATTTATACTGTGGAATTTAAGTCAAGTGGGACTGTTGCCCTGTTTCTGATTTATGCATGTTGGCTAATGGCATTTGTTTGCCTTTTGAGATGCTCCTTAGTAGGAAGGAAACTCATCCAACTGAAGAGAGTTTTAAGCTTATTAAAAAACATTACCACCAACTTTTACAAGTGAGGAGTAAAATTCTAGTCAGTGACTTCACACTTGTTTCCTCATTGATTGCAATGGTCTCTAGAGAGTGGACAATAGCATGGTACAGAGCACCATAAGTGGGAGAAGGAAGTTGCTAGGTCTTGGAGAAGCTTAACTTGAAGACACCAGCAGACTGATTAATTAACTCCCTCCTTCCCTAGTTGGGAAGGTTTGCCTTTGGGTTTAATCCTCCATTTGGGATTGTTGAAGTGATTGCAGTCACATTCTTCCTCCCCATCCCACAACCCTTACTCCTTCCCCACCTCCCACAAAAGAGATGAAATGCTGTTTTCAATATCCAGAAGACAGGATCTCCAGGTAACTGTTGTGCATCCCTTTGTTATTCCTTGCACATGGAAATGGCTCTACCTTCTTGACGAAGAAACACCCAGTGTAGGGAGCAGTGACAATCATTGAACCATCCTGTTTCCGAGAGAGGAGGACACCACATGTAGAGTTGGACAGAGGATGAGGCCGTCCTTCCAAATCTAGGAAGGAATGCTAGAGTCAGCAGGCAATAGAGAATCCTATGGGACAAATATATCCCAACAGCTGAGCTACCCATGACTGCTCAGTGAGCAAACCAGAAGGATGGATTTATACATACATGTTGGACCCAATTATTGAACAATATGGGAGAGAAAGTGGTACTGCCCCACACAGAAGGCTGCGTCAGTAAGTAGCCCTACAGAGAGCAAATTCTTCAATACTAACTCTAAGTAAAGAAAGGGTTCAGTGCCCTTCTGCATTCCAGCCTATGCACACTCATAAGCTATAGAATAGCTACAGTTCTAGTCCAAGAATACCAGACTCCACCCACTTGTGATCAGACAGGAAACCTTTGGCGAGAGCCAGGGCTTAGTGATTAAGTACAGAGCAAGAATCTGGAGCTTCTTAATGCTCATGCTAGCTTGGATACACCGCCCCTCCACACACCCCTCCCCCCAATTGTTACCTTAGGCAAGTCACTTTACTTATCAGCTCTTCAGTGCTGACATCTCCAACATGATGCTAATACCCTTTGAAATAGTGCAGTACAGTTCAGGTTTGTGGAAGCAGCTAGCACAGAAGCACTACAGGAGTGTGAAGTGGTAGGTAGCTTGGTTTATGCTCTTTTAGGAGCAAGAGCCTCAACAGTATTCAAACTGAACAAGGAATCTGGTAGCACCTTAAAAACTAACAGATTTATTTGGGCATAAGCTTTCATGGGTAAAAAGCTCACTTCTTCATATGCAACAGTATTAAGTCACCATGACATCTGCAAGGTGGGGAATGGAGTACAACCCCTTAAAGGCAACAGCAATAGGCCAAGATAATCCACAGCCTTGTACCTGTGCATTGTGGGCTTGAGTTCTCTTTGCAGCAGGTCTCCACTGGAGTCACAGAGCAGCAAGTGTAACATGCTAGCTACCCTTTTGGCTTTATGGGCCAGAGTCTCAGCTGGTATAAGTCAGCCCATTTGAGCTTAGCAGAATTACACCAATTTACATCAGCTGAGGAGCTGACCTGCTTTTCTGTTGCTTATTTTCACACCCACTTTGCAGTTACAAACTCTTCTACAAGGGGCAGATGCCTTGGGGACCCAATGGACTGCACTAAAGGCAGAAAGGGAGGGAGCAGGCATAAAGCTTCCTCCATTTTACACTTATTCACCCAGCTTTTTCTTCTAGCCAGATAAGAGGCAGCCTCATTTCATGTAATTCACTTACCCAGAGCACTCAGAAGGGAAATCATCTCAGGATGGTTTGTAGGAAGGGTTAACTGCAAACTTTTCCAGCCACAATCTACTAGGCTATGGTCCCCCACTAATACTGCATCTTTAAAGACACTGGGAGCCCCCCAGGCTAAAGAAAGGGAGGTACAGAACATCCAAATTAGACTGCCCCAAGAAGTCCCTAGCTGCTTTATTACTCCCATCCTGCTATCTGGCCAGCAGCTCCTAAAGCACCTACTCCCTGGGGAGCACTCTTATACTCTTAACTGAGCTGCAATTGGACAGAACAAAGATGCATTTCCAACTCCAGGTGAGACTGCTACACCCCCTGAGGAGGGCAGCCCAAAATCAATTCACACCTTGCACTCACTCTCCTGTTTAAATTCTGACAGCAGCTGCTCCACATTTAGCCCCTTTTATTTGTTCTGAAATGACTTTTTGAAATGCAGCCATATTTGCTGAAGAAAAATAAACAGATTTCAAAATGGAAATGGAGGAGGCAGCATCTGAAAAACCTATCCAGAGTCTTAACTAGGAGAGCCTAATGGTAAATGAGAGGCCCAACCAACTAGATGAATGCCAGGGGAAGGTAAAGGCTTGAATAACAGGATAGGTAAGGATTTCTGCAGCACTGAGCAATAGAACATGCTACTTGGCAAATAATGCAAATGTTTCCTAGATCCTTAGATGCACATACATACAGCATTTTCCTGTTTCTATGTATACTGTATGTTTTATAATCATGTCATAGAAAGGATCTATTGTGATTCATATATATGTGCACAAGGGTGATGAGAGGCATTTGTTGTGGAAATCTGGGACCCAATCGTGCAACTATATATCCACACCGGTGAACTCCTGCATCTGCTCAAGGCCCCCTTGACTTTACAGGCACAGGTGTGTAATGCAGTTGGTAGGATGGAGGCCCTCAACCTAGCTTAGGCCCCAGATGTGGGATCTCTTACAAAATACAGGGAAAGAGAGGTGGGCTGGGGGCTATAAAACCACATCTGAATAGAAATGACATATCCAAAAAAAGTTAGAAGAAACATGTTTGTTTGTTTTGTTTTAAAATCACATTACACCAGCACTGAGCTAGGGCATAACCACATGAAGGAAAAGTGACTGGAAAAAGGTCAGATCCTGGCCTGTGTATAGTCCCTTTGCCCTTAAACAGGCAACTGATGACTCTCCCACAAAATCCCCAGCTGGTGTAAAGCTTGCATAGCTGACTTTGTGCCACCCCTTACTGCCCCTCACATCAGCTTTGGGGGTGTACTGAGGGAGAGTGCTGCTGTGCGTTAGCAATCCACAGACAGCATAATGGCCTCCTGGGGACCTGTACCAGATCTCATGAGTTAGAGCAGCCCTTAGGCTGCTCTTGCTTACTCCTGGAACTGAACTGACCCCGGTTGGCCCAAGGATCAGGAGTTTTGTGGAAAAGTATCATATGGCCATTTCCCTTTCCCTGACCGCCCCCCCCCCCCCTGCCCCAGGGTTAGGGTGACCAGATGTCCCATTCTTAAAGGGACAGTCCCATATTTAAGCCCTCCTGCATGTGTCCCAACTTTTTCTTAAAAACAGGCAAATTGTCCCATATTTTCTGTCCCCCCCCCCATCAGTACTGCTGGTTGGATCCCTGCTCGCCAGCTGCCCACCCATCAGTGGCGAGGGGGGGGTCCAGTGGGCGACGATGGGAGTAGGTGTGCAAGGCTGGTGGCGGGGCAAAGATGCAGCGTGCCACTCTCCTTGCTGTTCCGTCTGTGCAGCCCCTGCTGTGTGGCATCTCTCGGCCAGCAGGGCCCCTCCCCCTTTCCTATTTCTGGCTGGCACTGGCTGCGCTCTGCAAGTTGCAGTGGTTGGTGAGTGCAGGCAGGTGCCAGCTGGTTACATGTCTCCTCTGCCACCCACCCATCGGCCCTTTACATGCTTCCCCCTCTCACTCTCCTCTCCCTGCTTTGCCCCTTCACCCCCTAGCCCCGTGGCTTCTCCATATCCCCCCTTGGTGAGGCACATCCTGCTTCCAGCACTGTGCAGAGAACCAGCCTCTGGTCGGCGTGCTGAGCTCACCAACAGCCTGGCCAGCAGGCTCCTTCCTTCCCCCATTGCCTCTGGCTGGGCCAGTGCCCTCAGAAAGGCCAAGACTCTCCGGCCCAGGGCACTGGCCAGGAGAAGCCGAGCCCTGCATGTGCCAAAGCTCTGCACAGCGCTGGCACAGGGAAGCCTCTCCTTGCTTTAGCTAAGCTCTGGCGTGGCAGGGGGATGCGATTTCCAGCTTGTTCACAGCCCGAACCTGTAGAGTCCACAGCAGCCCTTGGGGCAGGAGCTTAGAATCCTCTTCGCCCCTCCCCCCGCCG